GACGGTGTCCTAACAGGCGGATTTGTTGGCGAAAATTCCCGCGAGGCCCCTGACAATCACCTGAAGCGAAAGCTTCGAGGTAACTATGCGGGAATATACAATCCAAAATCTAAACAAGTCGCTATGACTTTAAATTAAAATCCTGAAAAAGAAAAATTAATTGCGTAAATTACTTATCTAAATTAAATAATTAATTTAATAAGCAATCATATCGTGAAATTCAATCACCAAAAACCAGCAATTAATGCCGTAAGATAAGCATAATTATAGGCAATCGCAGCGTAATCCAAAATAGGCTTAACAAGAAGCACGAGGCAAAACGAGCTGTCTGAAGAGCGAAATAAGACCCGATCTTCACTCACCACGGTCCCCCTGGCTTGGGTTTATTTCTAGTTATCTTCGGGGCGGCGGCGGACGCGTACGTTTTGTAGTCGGTGTACTTTTTTGATTGGCTCTCCTGTAGAGCAAGTATAAGGTTTCGCTTTTTCAGTCATGGCACTGGGTATGATTTTCTTGTTTTCAAAGTGTTTGGAAGAATGTTCCATATTTTCAGGCCTCTTGGGGCAATCAAGACTATACACGCTGCGTGCAAACCGTTGCAAAGGACACACTGGGCTGCATGTTTTTTTATATTTTTATATGGGCATTCGAAAGATTTATGCGATTCAGTACAGCATTGCGTTGGTGCGGGCCTACCTTTATAAGATTTTATAGTAACCTTCATATCACATAAGTATTTAACTTGCCATATTTTCTTACCCTCCTCATTACTGGGGGTTTCAACATAAAAAATCGGCAGTTGTGTAGCAATACCGTCTCTTATTCTAGTGATGGATTTGACTTTAATTATTGGTATTTTTTGAGCTTCTAACTTTTCTTTAATTTCGTCAGCCTTGTAATCCGTGGTGAGTCCTTTTATGACCAATCTGTTATATTTATCTGAGTTTAACAAAAAGGTGTGATACGGGGTTTCCTCCTTTTCTAATTTATCCTGCACCTTCTTATAATCGTCGGCGGAGCTTAGTTTAAGAACCATATTTTCACCTTCTTTTTTGAAAAATTTCTCAATTTTTAAGTTATCTTTTAATTTTTTCCTAAAATCCTTCCAGTTTATGGTCTTAGTGATAACTAGCGGGGGAATTTTCCCGGCATACCTTCTGGGTTGAATGAAAGGATTTGGGTTAGGGGTAACCTTATCTTCTTTCAGGATATTATCCTCTTCCATTCTGTTGCCATCTAAGTTTTCCTCTCGTAAGGTTTTGGTTTGGTTTGTGTGTGTATTTAATTATGGCAAAGCACACTAGGGCTATGAGCCTAAGGGGAGGGATGCCTTCGTGGAGGACTTTCAAAGGGAAACTGGCTCGTATATACGTTGCACATGGGGAAAACCACGAAAACACCCATGCAGCCAGCCCGCTCGCGGGATTCGAACCTCGGACCAAACTACCAGTGTTCAGCGATTTTACCGCTCGGCCGCTGGTGGGCCCCTCTCGTAAGGAATTGAATTGATTTGCAGATTTTAGAGGAGGGTACGTTTGTTCGAATTACTACGTTTCCTACCGCGTTTTGAAACGGGTGCATACTGCCAACCGTTGTCTGTCTTTTGTGAACTTTCCCGATTGTTAGTATTAGAAAATGCCTCATTTAGAACTTCTACACCATCTTTGAGATATATCATATAATGTTTCGCTTCCAATTCGGCTCGCATAGAGCTAAGACATTTTTCCTGTTCCTCGGTGATACCTGTCGATTCCTTTAGTTCTTGAAGTTTATCAACATCTTCTTTTAGCGTATAAAAATGCGCGAATAATGCGTGAAGCGATCCGGGTTCTCCGTCCTTCATGCCGAATAGCTAGTCACCGAACCCTCTAAATAATACAGTAAAGCATTCGGAGAGAAAAGCAAAAAAAAAAAAAATTCTCTTATCGATAGTCAAGACGATCACAAATACACGAGCAGTCTCCAAGGATCACACGTCCACGTACGTCGTCTCCACGTTCTGAAAAGAGAGCGACTTAGTTGTAATTAACTAGAGTACGGAGGCAGTTTTCACAATAAACATATTCTACTGGTTAATCTTATAAATTTTCGAAGCAGAAAGATTAATTGAGATTTTTTGAATTGCAGTAAAGCTCACTACGGTTATCTGTCTGAAAGGTGAGATATCTTTCTACGGGACTAAAATTAAGGAATACATACTTGAATATAACGTTATGAGGTAAACTGCATAAGACAGCTAGTCTGTTGACCGGGATTTGAAACAGGATCTGGATCTGGATCGTAAATTTAAAGTCTGGCCTCTACTACAAAGAGTAATCACCAGTAGACATCTTGGTCCTTGGGCTCTTACTTTATTTTTTTGAATTCAATCAAAGGCACACTGTCTTGTCTGCCGCGTCCTGAGGGACGAACAAACTAAGAAACACAGGTGGCAAGTCAGGAAAATCATTCTTTCGTGAAAGTTCAAGCATTTAAACAAATAGATGCTGAAAATTAGTCCCATTTAAGCAATAATGCCTTCGTAAATACATCATGAGTAGGTGCAGCTGAAGTCTTACACACAGTTAGCAGCTACGTGAGCGTGCATAGAGCAGAAGAAACAACTACATCGTAAAGTCACATGACTTAAAGTCAAATTCAGATTGATCCTTGCTTTAAGCATAGCGGTTATGATGATGAGACGCAAAAAGCTGATATCTAAAATACTTGTAATTTTTAACAATTTAGTAAACACTGAGACGTGATAATTTTCTTTTGAAGGTAAACACTTATGCGGTCACGTATGGCTCGTAATACAATGGAATTTAGCTGGTATTATTCTTACTGAACTTCAAAGAGTAAGTAATTTCCACGTTCGTAAATATTTAAATTACACAGTTCAATGGCTTGCAAAATCAAAGTCCGTTCAAGAAACACGAAAAACACATTTTAAAATAACACCAAACTTGGCTATATACAAAAACGGTGCACAGTTCGCTTTGTCAAGATGATTTATAAAAATCACAAAGTCCTTGGTACAAAACACTAAACACAAACTAGACAAAAAAAGTGAGTAAATAAGATACTAAGAAATACGAAATATTTACATTATACATTATGTACATCACCACCACCGTGGGTTGTGGTGGATTTGAAAGTGGGCGTTTTACAACCCTCTCCTGAGGGGTATCGTAGGTAGTAAGATTTCTTATTGCAGAGTAAGGAGAATTTTGCATACTTGTGAAAAAATTGTGTGCTGTGGTCAGAATCTGTTCCTGAATTGGTAGAATTTTAACTCATCATAGAGCTGCGAGTTTCTTATGAACCAGGGAGCGTTTGTAATAGATCGAAGTATCTTGTTTTGTAACACATTCATCTTCTGTCTGTCTGTTTTCGTTGCTGTAGCCCAGGCCGGTACGGCATACAATAAAACTGGGCGAATTAAGGTAATATAAAGTGTTCTTTTAATCTTTCCAATTTAGAATTTCGTCATAATAACGGGTAGATGGCCATGAATGCTGCGTTAGCTTTATTGGTCGCGTAAGTCAGGTGATCATAAAAAGAGAGAGTTCTATCAATATGCACCCCAAGATATTTCTAAGAATTTAGAACAGGAATTGGGATATTGTCAAATTTTACGTCAATATTTAGCGGGAACCATTTTTTATACCGTCTGTAAATCACTATGTTGCATTTAGAAGGGTTCACTTTAATCTTCCATAGCTTGCACCATGCATCTATTTCATTAATTTGGCACTTCAGCTTGTCTACAGCATTTTGAGGGTTCAGGGAGTTAGTTAAAACCACGGTGTCATCAGCATACTTTAAAAACAGGTCGAATTAGCAGTGATTAGCTATTTTATCCACTCAGTCGTTAGTAAGGTGACGAATAATGAGATACCGAATTGTGATACGAAACTGGATTAAGGAGATAATTTTTTATATTTGGTATTTAAAGTATTCGAAGAAATTACAAAGATACTTCAATAGTTTAACGTTTTTACTGTCTTCCTTACTTACTCCGTCAAATTTTGAATGGATGTACGAATGCCTGTTACTCTGAAACAGAAATACTTCAGAGTTTCATTTTTATTACTTTATTTCTGAAGACGAAAACTGAAAGTAGCTATGAACTTTTACAGTTTATTCTAAAATACAGTTTCCAAAACGAAATTCCAAACACTGAAGTTGAATTTTCTCACAATTGCTGCAAGCATTAGTTGTGCTTTCTGGATGTTTTTCTATATATAAATCCGTCAAAAAGCAACTAAGACTCAAAACTGAATATTTTGCATTTAATACATACTGAGCTATCCAGAGAAGAAAAATTGAAATAATTTAAGAAACTTCTAAAATACCTTCGATGGTTTTGCTAACAGGAAAGCAAACAAAGTAGCACTTTAAAAATATTGGAATGAAAATTTTATTTAAAAAGAAAGCCGAGCTTTTATTTATTTCCTGTATGTCTCTCTGACATCTTAAAGATCTGATTTTTTTTTTTTTTTTTGTGTGTGTGTGTGTGTGTGTGTGTGTGTGTGCATTGAGAGAGGCAGCAAAAGAACTTTCCTGGGGGGGGGAGGTGTCTAGCTAACTGCATAACAGATAACAAAGCAAATACCAGTTCGTATTAAAGCCGCTATATGGCACCGTGTTAGTTCTACATGGTTCTATAGTTTTATCTGAGCTTGGTAAAATTTTGCATAATTCATCTTGAACAAAAATGAAAGGAAAATCACTGCCTACCTGAGGTTTCGAAAAAGTACTCCTTCCCCCTAAATTAAGTCTCTGTGTAACGCTCGGTCAACGCTAGATACCACGATAAAATTTTTAAAAATTAACTTTTAAAATGAAATACGGAGTATCCATTTAAAACAAAATGGGCACTAGTTTAATATGAAATCAAAGCAATGAAATCTTACCTAATTTTAATTTGTGTGAATAAATTCCATTATTTGGTTCAAAATCTTAATTTACGCTATACATTCTCATTAACTTTATATATTCAATAATTGTTTTCACAGGTTTTCCATATTTGCCACGAGAATGGACAAAGAAGCACTTTCCTGTGCCCAATTGGTACATTGTTTAACCAGGAATACCTAGTGTGTGACTGGTGGTACAATGTGGACTGTGGAGGGAGTTTACAAAATAATTATGCAGCTGAAACTTTACAAGCTTTCAGTTCAAACACCCAACAACTTAGTGTATTAACTCAGAGCAACCGGATTGCAACGGAAGTAGACAATCTGCAAGAAATTCCTTACAACCCCAAGCACATAGAAGATCCAAAAAGATCTCTTCGGAAACAAAAGTTCCATGTTTCAACTCCGAGCAACGGATTTGAGACGAAGAAAACCAGTTTGCAGCAAATTCATAATAGAAATAAGCACATAGGAGAGGATCCAACAAAGTTTTTTCGAAACCAACAATCACGTGTTTCCACTCCGGGCTACGGATTTACAGAGAAAAAAATTAACTTGCAGCCAATCCGTTATGGTGAAGAACATATCAAACAGGGCCCATCTGCAGAAAAATCTTCACTGCAAAAGGCGGTTAACTACCTCGATCGTTATGTTGTTTTATTATGGGAACACATGAAAAATTCTCCAATCAAAATACATGTACTTCCTAAAAATACAATTTCTTCTCATTATACAGGAAAGGATTCAAGTTCAGATTCTCCCAAACATGCAGCTGATACTAATAAAAATAATAGAAAGTCACCAAGTAAAACAAAAGAAACAAATCAACAAAACAAGCCAGCAAAATGCACACCTATTAAGAAGCAACGACAAAACAAGCGATACTTTGGTGGATTGAAGCCATTTGTTCACACAACGACAAAAACTGCAAAAGTCCTTTCCTATAACTATCACAACGACAAGACCTTAATTGAAATACTTCCACCTAATTTATCTGATAAAAACTTTACAACATTAAAACCCTCCATTGAGATAAAATCTTCACACGTTAAGGAGATTATTCAAAAGAATTTATTACTCCATAAACATAATTTTACAAAAAAATTGAGTCCTGTTATGAAAAAAGATTTCAAATCACAGAATGGTGCTGGGAAGGATATCCCTGTTGCTTATAAAAATTCACAAGACAACACAACAAAAAATAAATACATCGCAAATGCAAAATTTGGCGAAATTGTTTATGATTTTCCTAAGTTTTCTTATGTAAAAATGGGAAATATTAATAATAATAATAATAATAGCTATTTCAATTATCATTCAGTAGAAAGTACGGTGAAATTTGAAAAAATAAAATCAAACGAGTCTAAAAAAGAAAAATATAATGCATCAAAAATTCAACATAACGATCCTAATGAAAATAAAGTTGATAATAAAAGTACAACATCAAATAAAAAGACTACCAAATTGCTAAACAGTACAACAAAAACTCCCAAAATTACAAATAAAATCATTAGAAATTATAATCGAACTGCGGTTAGAAATGGTGAAAAGACTGATAAGGAATTACGGTTTTCTACAGTGAATAGTAAAGGAATACGTTTTCCAGAATTTAGTCAAATTTTGAAATTAAATGGCAGTAGAAGATATGGAGATAGATTGTCATTTAATGCAAACTCTTTTTCTATCTTCAATATAGAAAAAGCACAAAAGAATATGCTAAAAACAAATATTGCTGCTCGAAAGAAAGGTAAAAAGCACGATAAAGCTGCAAAACAAGAAAAGAACACGAGTGAAAATTTACAAAACAACCGCACAAATCAAATCAGTTCCAGAGCAAACAAAACAAAAATATCTAATCATAAAACAAGCAATAATAAAACAAATATGCAAAGGAGAGAAAACAATATAATTCCAAACTCTAAAAGCGAAAGAATGTTTCACAATCGAGTACAAAATAGCCATCCTTTCGTATCTCGCATCGAAGAATCCAAAAAAGAAGCTGAAAAACACATAAATAAAAATTTTACTATAAGTTTTCGAGTTCAAGCTAAAGAATTGTTACAAATAAACAATACAAAACATCTTTCGAATCCAAATATTGTGCGTAACGTTGTTCAGAATAATTCAATCAAAACGCATCATCTTAAAGCTCCTTACGTGATTGAAAATAGCCACAATGTTAATCATATGACCAACAAACGTTTGAATGAGTCCGAAATGTTAAGATATAGAAAACAGAACATCACAAAAATCAAGCACAAACATGGAGGATTTGTTGTTATTAAGAAAGTAAAAGTTGAAAAAAAGGACCACAAAATGCCATTGAATTTGACAGAAAGTGCAGATGTTATAAAACCAAATACCACTAGCAGTCTGGAATTAAATTCTGGCCCTAACGATCACATTTAGGTAAACTGACTTAGCAACTAAATTTTGTATAATGGTGCAGTGCTCTTTTTCATTGACAAAAATGATTTTGTTTGTAAAAATCGTGTATAACCATTTGCTCAAATGTTCATGTATTAGTAATTCGTTTGAATCCTTGCAATAAAGATTGTCTTTATTATAAGCTTTTATTTAATTCATTCCTAGTGTTTCACTGTGGTGGGAATTCTGTCATTGATTTTTAACCTACTTCCTGATAAGCTGTGAGACCTAGTATGTTTTGTGGGTATGAAATGGTAACTAGATCTACTTGGATGTTACATTGCGACTTCTCGTACAGGGGTGAAGATGAACACAACGGGGAAAGGGTGTGAAAGGCCTTTTATTTTATCACAAAGAAGTAACAGATAGCACGGTCAAATGTGCATACGACTAAAACACCATCACTTGCGGTGAGAACTTGAATGGTAACAATAAATTTAAAAGGTAAAGATGTAGTGTTAGACAACAACACAATTTAATTTAATCTAATAGGCTGACTCAGAAACCTACAAGGGCGATGTATTAACTATATGGCCAGAATAGGTAGCCGCTACTAAGATTAACAGCTGTAAGACAAAATAGCAAACGAGTGATTTCACTAGCGAAATTACGCTCTGTCTAAACCGTTCGGTTCAACAGTTTAAATACTCTCGTTCGCCTACTTCATTTACTTCCTGGCGAGGATGTGTGAGGGGAAATAAGAGAATTCAAGAAAGGCTCAATAACTGTTAGTAAAATTAAACAAGAGCTATTGAGCTAAAACTAAAACTAAAGCTATTGAGTTCCAACTTGTATACACACTGTCGATGACAATGTAGAACAAGTATGGAGAAGTTATTTTTTCAAAATTCGATTTCGATATTTTTTAATTTAATGTTCAAATGATTCTTCGTTTATTTATAGTCTGTTCGTTCGTACAACTGAGTAAAGTGGAAAAGCATCTTTTAAACGAAACTTGTGTGAAAATGGTAACATAATTTCCGGAAATTTTCGAAAATCGCTTGATTTTTTTAACTATTAGATGTCCACGTTTTTAAAATTTCAACACTAAAAACGTATCGGATATAAAGTTTTGAAACTTTCACAGGTTATAAAGCAAACAGTTTGCCTTTTTAAAACAAGAATTATAAAAAAATTTTAATTGGCCAATTTTTTACATTTCTCAAAAAAGATGTTTCAAATGAATAATTTAATTGGCAATGTGTCATTGATACTCAAAAGGTAATAATAAAATAATTTTTAAAATGTTTTCGTGAAACTAGCTTTTAATTAAAACTTATGAAATCATTAATGAACTAAAATGGAAAAAATATTATATAATTTAATAGGAACAAGAGATTAAATAATTCTCTTTACAAAATTCATCTACAGTTTTATACTATGAATAATAAAAACGTATAGTACAAATAATGAAATCAAGAATGGAGCTGTCAAAAACATAAGCATCATACATTTATAAACTTATCAGATCGCTCCATTCTTTTACTATTCGTGATATAAATTTGTAGATGAATTTTATAAACAGAATTCTTTAATATTTCTTACCTGTGTAACTATATTATAAATTATTTTTCTCTTTTAGTTTGTAATTATGTTTCGTTTTAAGCAAAAGCTTACTTTATAAAATCTTTTTTAATTTAAGGCTCTCATGTTTATCTTCTATTTTATAAATCTGTGAGTTTGTTATAGATTTATAGAACAGTATGATAGTATTAAGAGAAAGACAAAGGAAGGCAGAAGGTAGCTACAGTAAACATAGAACATTAAATTTTCTCCAGAAAATTATTATCCAGTATTGGAAAGATTCTTATGATGAATATATGGCAAAAAATCAAATTTTCAGATCTCAGCTATTTGTTTAATTTTGTAGGGTTTGAATTTCCATCTGTAAATAAACCTTAAGATCATAACTGAATGAAAGAAGTCAACTTTAAGTTCTTAAAGTCTAAAAAATTTTAAGTCTTTTTCAAGTAATACTGTTTTTATTATTATTATTATTATTATTATTATTATTATTATTATTTATGTACCCTGTATATGAACAGAACTACGTATCGCTTTCAGTATTTATACTATCTATCAAAACTATGTCATAATTGTTAAATAAGCTTTTAATATTCTATCAGAAGAATTATTGTTTATGCTATAATGTTCCTCACGACTTTAGCTGTAATAAAATGTCTAGGAACTTAGTGAACTAAGTAGGGACTTATTACTAGCAATTTGGTTTCCGAGCTAAACACTGCACAACGCACCAAGATTCTGAGGACAGTGGATTTCATTCACGAAGGCTTTTGTAGCAAAGTGCTTATTGGAGCCCTTTTTCTTGACATAGCCAAAGCATTTGATAGGACTTGGCATACGGGTATTATTATCAAGCTCATGCAACTTGGTATTTCGGCTCAACTTCTCACATATTAGTCGTATCTCCTAATCATTCTTTCTCAGACGGTTAATTCTATCATTTCGGCTCCCGTCCAATTCTAAGTGGCGTAGCTCAAGGTATGTAATTGGGCCGACTATATTCAACATCTTTATCAAGACATTCCAAATCACCCAGTGTTACTCTAGCACTCTATGCAGATGACAGGCCATCCTAACAAACACAAGCATTGAATGTTCTGGTTCACAATATTCAGAGTTCTCATAGCTTAGCATGGCTAATACTTGGAAAATCAAAATTAACGTCGCTAAATTGCGCCATGATATTCACACTCTCCCGAATCCCGTACCTACCATTAATAAAAGTTCTTCGATGACTATGGCCCCTGGAAATTCACATAAGTATCTAGGAGTGATACTTGATTCCAAATTAATCTGGCGTCTTCATATTGATTATACCTCGATAAGCGAAATCGTCAGAACCAACTTTACTCCCTTCTAGGGCGACAGAGCCCTCTGTCAATCAAAACAAAGCTCTTCTCTATATTCCATCATTCGACAATTTTTGTATGCTTGCACCATCTGGGGTAGAGCTGCAAAAATACACATAAAAAACTTCAAGGCTTCCAAAGTAAGACCCTGGGTTTAGTCCTTAATGCAGCCTATTATGTCCGTACTGATGTGATTCATTCAGATCTTAATATTAAATCCATTGATGTGGTTATTAAAAAACTTAGTCGAAATTTATTCCTCAAAATTGAACAGACTGATTAACCGTGCACTTTAAGTTACCGGCCTACGAATCCTGCTGTTTGCAGCAGGAAGAAAAGACCTCGCTCCATCATGGGACGCGATTACGGCATCTATCCTCCAGCTAAATTAAATTACTATATAATGTTTAGTTTTTCAAAACGCTTTATCAAGCAACGTCTTTATTCAGTTAGTTCTTACTATTTGTCACAGCTCGAAGGGCTCCCAGATGCTTTCTCATTTCACATACTTAATATATCTGTTCCAGCTTCACCTAATAGGCGCGGCGTTTACGCTCATTTCATTTATTTATTATACCAACGCCTAAGAGCAATTTTTCAAAAGCGGTGGTTAAAGCAGCGTAGGCTGCTACATGCCACCTAGCCATTCAAAAGAAAGAAAGACCTCCGTTCTCAGTTCCAGCGCCCGGCTTGCACAGGGATAAAAGAATACCAGCACAGAAGAAGGGTAAAATAGCCCTTTATTATTCTTCAAACTCTTAACATAAAATGCACGTACTTTGTGCTTACAATAACACCAACGACTTATGGTGGAACTTAAGAATTGTTGCACAATAATTCCAAAGATAAAGAGTAGTGCTGGACTAACAATTTAATTTATGGCTGATTAGGCTGACACAACAACGTAACCGGCGATGTGCTTATTAAATGGCCAAAATGGCGTATCAAAAACTCCGCGTAACAGGAAGGACAAACTAGTAACGTGCGTTGGCTAGCCAAGTTCCAAGTTCCGCTGAATGCGCCGCTGATTAACAGGATTTGCAAGTTTTGTTCCGCCTGTCTGAGTTAGTTGCTATAGAGCGCTGAAAGTAGGAGAATGCATGAGTGAGACCCAAGTCAGGATTGCAGATGTTGAGAGGGCGTGACTACCTTGTCACGTGAGGTGTGAAGAAGTCGTTAATACGTTGCGAGATTTCAGGTTAGAAATGCTGAAGAAAACATTAAATGTACAAATTTGCAGAAATAATTACATAAAAGGGAAATTTTTCTAGTAATCATCAGAGTAACAACATATGGAATAAACCAAATTTCATCACGTAATAAAGTCTAGCAGTCCTGTAAGTTGAAATTCTGAGTCCATGATAACGTGATGGGGGTGGTGTAAACAGAATCATGGTTTCATTATAACAGTCAAACATGTTTCAGGAAAGCAATAATTTTAATAAGAGTTACAAAATAACAGAATAAATGCAGAACAAATGTTAACTCAAAATACATATATACAAATTCAAGATGTCTATCCCAGAGCATACTTAGAATAAGTCACATATCCCGTGAGCGGAATCCGGTATTCTAATTCGCTTAGCGTAAACTTGTCCAAAACTGATGAAAAGAGTAAAATAATTAAATAATGGGTTGCAAAGTGAAAAATCCCTATTTTTCTCATGTTCTTCAATATGATAAATATAAGGAATACCAGAAATTTCAGTCCTAAAAAATGTAGAAAGTCCTACAACAAAGCTGAACATAGAACTCAAGTTCCTAGGTCACGTGGGAGGTCACTCTCCCAGGTGCTGACTTTTAGAAGTGCTTCTTGAATATTCAAGAAAAGCAGTATTCAGGAGTAAAATAAAAGAAAATAAGAGTAAAATCACTATATACAGATCAAAATTTCCACTAACTTGGTATTAGGGGGGGGGGAATTTTCGTTTCCACTGAGTATGTAGGCTGCGAAAGGTCGAAGAAATCGACATCGGAGAGAACTTCATAATGAAACATGTTGAAATGATTCATGAAGTTACATTCCTGCGCATTTTTGAAGAATTTATCGGTAAGATTTCGCAGATGTACCGCGATGGTATCGATTTTGAGGTCTTCATGGAGGGTCTTGTTGTGGACATAATAGTGTGCGTTCGTGATAATACGCAGGAGTTTATTTTCAACGATTTGGAGTTACATCTGAGCCTTTGGCTGCCGCCCAGGCAGGAGATGCATAAGTCAAAATAGGTCTAATTGTGGAGAGATAAACAAGTCTTTTCTTCCCCAAATC